ACGCCGGCACACTTGTAAGTTTGTATGTAGGGTTGTTAGATTAGCTGGGGGGTGGACAGGACAGGAACCGTTGCGGTTCATTATGAAGCCGTTGAAATTAACGCATTGCACGCGGAAAACGTTTCTCACTCGTATATTTTAGTATGGGCCGGGGGCAGGCAGGGAAGCACGCAGGGATATAGGTCAGATAATCGAATGTATTGTCAGATAATTGAAGATAAAGTCAGGTAATCCGACGTTAAGTCAGATATTCAGATATATTGTCAGATATTCAGATATGTTGTCAGATATTCAGATGTATTGTCAGATATTCGAATTCGTTGTCAGATATTCGGATATATTGTCAAATATTCAGATATGTTGTCAGATATACGAATATGTGGTCAGATATTCAGATATATTGTCAGATATTCGGATATATTGCCAAATATTCAGATATGTTGTCAGATATTCGAATATATGGTCAGATATTCAGATATATTGTCAGGTATTCAAATGTATTGTCAGATATTCAGATGTATTGTCAGATATTCAAATATATTGTCAGATATTCAGATGTATTGTCAGATATTCAAATACATTGTCAGATATTCTGATACGTTGTCAGATATTCGGATATATTGTCAAATATTCAGATATGTTGTCAGATAATTATGTCAGATATTCTCATAAATTGTCAGATATCCATATATATTGTCAGTTATTCGGATATATTGTCCGATATTCGAATTATTCAGATCTATTGTCAGATATTCAGATGTACTGTCAGATATTCACATATATTGTCAGATATTCAAATGTATTGTAGTATATTGTCAGAAATTCTGATATTATGTCAGATACTCTGATATATTGTCAGTTATTCAGATATATTGTGAGATATTCGAATTATTCAGATATATTGTCAGATATTCAAATGTATTGTCAGATATAAAGATATTATGTCAGATATTCATATATATTGTCAGATATTCAAATGTACTGTCAGATATAAAGATGAATTGTCAGATATTCAGACATATTGTTAGATATTCAAATGTATTGTCAGATATTCAAATATCAAATATATTGTCAGATATTCAGATATTATGTCAGATATTCAGATATATTGTTAGATATTCAAATGTATTGTAGTATATTGTCAGATATTCTGATATTATGTCAGATATTCAAATTATTCAGATATATTGTCAGATATTCAAATTATTCAGATATATTGTCAGATATTCAGATGTACTGTCAGATATTCAGATATATTGTTAGATATTCAAATGTATTGTAGTATATTATCAGATATTCTGATATTATGTTTGTCAGATATTCGAATTATTCAGATATATTGTCAGATATTCAGATGTACTGTCAGATATTCAGATATATTGTTCGATATTCAAATGTATTGTAGTATATTGTCAGATATTCTGATATTATGTCAGATATTCAAATATATTGTTAGATATATAGATATTATGTCAGATGTTCAGATATATTGTTAGTTATTCAGATATATTGTGAGATATTCAATTTTTTTATAGATATTGTCAGATATTCATATTATTCAGATATATTGTCAGATATTCAAATTATTCAGATGTATTGTCAAAAATTCATATGTATTGTCAGATATTGAGTGTATTGTCAGATATTCAGATGTATTGTCAGATATTCAGATGTATTGTCAGATATTCAGATATATTGTCAGATATTCGGATGTGAAGTTAGATAGTTAGAGTAGGCTGTGCGCGGGTGACCTGGGTGTCGAGGAGTTGTGTGGTAGACTGGCGAAAGTGGGAAGTCTTGAGACAAACTGTAGTGGGTATAAGTAGCCAGGGGGTGTCCGGAGCACTTGTACAACTAGACGAGCACTATAAGATCTTCTAACCCCCGTAAACCATACGTACGAGTGGAGTACAGGCGGATGCTAAGTACTCAGACACCGACATCGATATAGATGCGTACTATGTTCTGGACACGGATCTGTGTACGACAACATTCTCAAGGGGTCTATCAACACAATACGTCATCGGTATTTGAATTTGCTCCGCTTTGGAGTAGTTTATTTCACGATGGCTGCGGCATACATTCTTATCAACCAATAGGAACGCTTAGTTATTGACTAGTAGCGTGAGTGCCAAGATTCCCTGACCACACGTATCGGCACGCCTTCCTCCACCGAATTGAATTGCCCAGTAATATCAAGTGAGCGTAAGAGCCAAACATTTTAGATTAAAAAATGTACGGGATGACGTTCAACGGGCACTTCTGATTGTAGCAAGTGTGTTTTTCACCTTGTATTACGCTTTTATGATGGATGTATGTGCAGCTCTCTGTTGCTGTTTGTATCTTTGGAAGACAATGTACATGTTTATGTATATAAATAGATATGTATATAAATAGATATATCGACATATAGATATATGTATATGTGTCTATGTCCATGGCTATGTTTATGTTTTTGTCTATGTCTATGCCCATGTCCATGTTGATGTCTATGTCTATGACTTATGTGTGTATGTATGTATGTATATATATATTTGTGTGCGTGTATATCTGTATGTGTATATAGGTATATAGGTATATGTGTGTATACGTATTCTATATTATCCATATATATATATATATATATATATATATATACGTATACACATATATTTATGTACATGTATGTATGTATGTCTGTGTGTATGTATGTATATAAGAATGTATGTAGGTAGGTAAATATGTAGGATATA